TTCCACCTTGTATTTTAGCGTTATGGGAATGACTTCTTTCCTTAATCTGATGAACCACCTTCTGCTAATTAAAAAAAATTTTTTCTGCAGCTTTCTCATCTTTCTCAGCCTTCATAGCATTGAAAAGAATCAGCCTTGCTCTGGATTAGGTTTTGACTTAAGGAAATGTACTTTGATCTTCTGTCAAGACCACTTAAAGTTTCTTTATATCAGCAATAAGGATCTTTTACTTTCTTTCTTTCTTTTAAGAATTATTTAATTTTATTTATTATTGTTATTACTTGATTTGCTATAGGGCACATGTATCCACCAGAGACAGACCAATAGAGAGAAAGAAAGCCACCAGGTCCAGGACCCAAACTGTGGTCAGCCATATGGGAAGTCCAATGCCTCAACCATTGGTGGTTAAGGGCACCAGACTCCCAAAATATCAAAGCAAGATATTTTGCCTTTTTTTTTTTTTTTCCTAAAATACTTATTTACTTCCATTTGCTAATATTATTTTTAATTTGATCAGAGAGAGACAGAAAGAGAGAGCGAGAGAAAGGGAAAGTGGGAGAGTAAGTTGCCAGGTCCAGGACTCAAACTGCAGTTGGCCATGTGGGAATCCAGCATCTCTAACCACCACACTATCTGCCAGCCTTGATACTTTGTTTTCTTATCATTGTATTCACTTGAAGACTTTGCTTTTGCATTTGTATCTTAGCTAACTGTTTAGCACAAAGGACCAAGTTTTTGGCCTATCTCAGCTTTAGACATGCTTTCCTCACTAAGCTTAATTATTACTAGCTTTTATTTAAAGTAAGAGACATTCAACTCTTTCTTTGAGCACTTAGAGACCATTGTGTTATTTATGGGCCTGATTTCAATATTGTATCTAAGAGAATGGGGAGCCTAAGGAGAGAAAGACAGAAATGGGTTCGTGAGATGGAACATTTTAGAACACCTGCAACATTTACCGATTAAGTTCTTTGTCTTATATGGGTGTGGATGGTGTCCCACAATAATTACAGTGGTAACATAAAAAATGACTGGTCACAGATCACCATAACAGAAATAATAATGAAAAAATTTGAATCTTATGAGAATTATCAAAATGTGGCACATAGACAAGAGAGCACATGCTGTGGGGAAATGGCACCAATAGTCTTGCTCAACACAGAGTTACCACAGACCTGCAGTTTGTAAAAACACAGTGTTTGTAAAGGGCAATCAAGTGAATCATAATAAAATGCCTATAGTTATTTATAGTGAAGTGCTTTGAAAATTTGATGTAAATTATATCTATTTCTTTATAAAAACACTAGTTTCAGGGGGCCAGCAAGTGCCATGGTGGTTAAGGGCACCAGACTCCCACATGGCCAACTGCGGTTAGAGTGCTGGACTGGTGGCTTACTTTCTCTCTCTCTCGTCTCTGGGCAAATTAAAATAAATAAATAAATAAAGTTAAATAATAATAAAAACGCATTAATTTCTTTCATTGGCTTAAGAACTATGTTTGGGGGCCAGTAGATGGCATAGAGTTTGTCACTGGACTCCCACATGGCTGACCACGGTTCCAATACTGGACCTGGTGGCTTGAAACTCACACCAGACGCGTGTGCATGCTTGTCCACGGATGTCCAAGATCCCAGGAGGAGAATAGAGGAGAAGGGATTGTGGCATCGCCATCCCCTGTAAGGGGTAATTTTTCACTTTCTCTCTCACTACCTCTGTCTGTCTGTCTGTCTGTCTCTCTCCCCTTGGTGAGCGCACATGCACTAAGGGAAAAACCTCTACCAAAAAAAAGCTGTGTTTGGGGTATGGGGGCCAGCAGGTGGTGTGGTTAAGGGTGCTGAACTCCCATTTGGATGACCGCAGTTTGAGTCCCAGACCTGGTGGCTTGCTTTCCTAGTTTCCCTCCCTCTCTCTATTTCTCTCTCTCTCTCTCTCTGTCCCTCTCTAGTCAAATTGAAATAAATAAATAAATGAAGTTAAATAAAAGAATTCTTAAAAAAAAATGTCAGGTGTGACCCATTAATGCTTTATAAAATCAAAATACTGGGTCATAACCAGCATTAAAGGAAAACATTTGAATAAAAATCTTTAAAAAATTCCTGCCTATACTGCTTATGCTAAGGGTATTTTTTTGTAAAACTTTTGTTTTGTGGGATCAGCAGATGGTATAATGATTATGTTACTGGACTCTCAACTTGTTGACCATGTCTCAAGTTCTGGACCTGGTGACTTCAAACTCACGCCAAGTGCATGTGCATGCGTGCCCAAAATCCCAATGAGGAAACCAAAAAGGGGATTGCAGTGTGGCCATCCCCTCTGGGGGGGGGGGTGATTTCTTGCTTTCTATCTATCTCTTTCTCTCTGTGTCCAGCAAGCTCACATTCCTGATAGCAAAAACCTCTCTACTAAAAAAATAGTAAAATTTGTTTTCTTATGTGTGTATGTACAGAGTCACAATGTCAAATGTATATTTTTTCCTTTTTTTTAAAGAATTATTTAATTTTATTTAAATTTTAACAGAGAGGACAGAGTGAGAGAGAATGCAAGAAAGCAAGCTGCCAGGTCCAGGACTTGAACTGCAGTTGGCCATGTGGGAGTCCAGTGCCCTTAACCACCATACCATCATGCCCAGCCCTTTTTTTAAAAAAAATGTATATTTTCTATGATGAGTTACAAGATAAAAGTTTGAAAAATGCAGGCATAGAGCTTTGTAGCATTTATCTTTCTCTATTTTAGTTTAACCAGGGAGGAAATAATAGCGAGTTAGCACAAATGTTATATTTAAAAGTACATGACATCACTCAACATAATAGAATATATGCTTGATATTTTACTTTTTTGAGAGAGAGTTTTTTAATTATTTAATTTTATTTATTTTTATTTTATAAATAGGG